CAGCAGGATTAAAGGGGATAAACGTACCAGATTTAGAACAATGGGGTTATTTAAGATGCAACACACAGAAAGTTGTACGGCAGCAAAACCACTGCTGCTACAGCCGCAACCACTGCAGACATGTGTATACTACTTGGCTGTTTCTTTAGAGGAAATCAGAAAGGAGGTTGAAAGTTAAAGCAGCAGTTTGCTCTGCACTAAAAGGTCAACGAACACTTTGTGTCTTTAGCCACGGGCATCCAAACACGTTCTTTGATTGGTGTTAATTTGTCCATCCATCTGTTAATCAACCTCAAATGAAAAACACAGGAGACAAACATTTAATACACAGGACTGTATGAAAATTAATGTGGAGGCAGGACAGTGTTCATACTAAAACTAAACAAATACATTTGATAACACAAACTATGACAAAATGATTTACTTTTTTCAATGAATAAAACCTAAACAATAATGTAATAGATGGCTGAATGGACACAAAGCAAACAATATTTAACTTCCCGCTGCTTCTGTAGAACCACAAACTGTAGCTACTGATAAGTCAAACACTTTCCTCCAGTGACGGATGTACAAATTTTGTAATATATAATAAAATTTATCTACAGTCCACTGATAATTAGACAAGACAATCACTGAATGGGCGTGCAACATGGATGTAACGTTACCTTCACTCACATATCTTTGTCCATGATGGATGTGGGCAGTCGACCATCAAAATCTTCCTCTACTTTGGTTACAAAAATCTCACTGTATTAACGTCCTCCCATGATTTAGCTTGTCCTCTCAGCCTGAACCCAGTAACTTTCCTCTACATGAGAATGAGGTCATTGCTCTTCTGCAGAATAAAGGGACACTGTGTGTGAGCAAATAAACATTTAAGCATTTACCACAAACCTCGTGATAGACGAGAACTAGAGTTTGGACACCTGAACTTGGCCATACAGGACCCATCGGTACCTGAGGGTTCGGACAGAAATTTAGAAATTATGTTCGGACATTGTGGAGGCAATTTTTGGTTTTACTCTTTATGCATTAAAACTGTAAGTTAGTATACATCAGAATGAGTTGAACTTTGTTACACTGAGGGTATGAACTTTTAGCTTTTCTGCACAGCAACAAGATGCAGCGTAGCCTTTCCTTGAACGATCTCCTCCCTCATTAACGTGTCTCTCTGTACCAGGATGAGGACCTCTGTCTAATGAGAAGCACATGTGCATGAATGTTATCAGTCCACATTCTTTTCGTGATGTTCCCAAACCCTGTGTAAAGCTCGTATATATATATAACTGGGTTTCCTCTGTTCTTTGAGCCTCTCTAATGGACCTCTCAGAGTGCTGTTGCAGTCCGTGTGTGTAAGTGTGTAAGCTGTTTTGTACATGTGTGTGTATGGTGTTATTGAGATGTACTGACTCAAATTTTAAGATGAACTCTGGAGATTAAAGAGAGAGATCATGCCAGGACTTTCATAACCCACACATTTTGCTTCTGATTTGAATTAATGAAAATCTAACAATCTGAAGAACAGAGCCATGTTGCAGATGAAGAGTAGAAGCAGTGGCAGTGAAATAAAGAAAACTTTGTAAGAGTATAGTTTTATCCAGTCACATTCAGACCTTTGTGGTCAGATGGCCACATGTACTGTAAGTGCAGACAGGAAAGCAGAACATATACACAACTGATTATATCAGTGTGGGTTTTAAGTGTGCTCCATTATCTACAAGTGTTCATCTCAGTCTGCAAGTTCAGTGAAAGGCCATTGTGTAACACTAATCCATGCTGTAGGCCAACAATGCATTCACACATACAACGACTGTTGCAACACAGTGTGTTTGAACTCGGCAATCAGCAGCTGCCTATATGGGTGCCTGAGTGGGTTCAGGCCTGCAGTAGGCCAGAGGGTGATCTGATGCACCCCTGCTAGTTCCTGCAGTTACTAAGGTGTCAGCATTAGCGGTAACATGGGAGGCGGAGGCAGGGGCAGGGGTGGGCTGAACAGTGCAGAGGTGGTGCAGGAGAAAGAAGAGAGCACTGCGCTTTTTGAAAGGTCAGAGTCCGCCGTGTCTAAGAGGGGAAGGTGCTGAAAAGACCAGAGCGGTGTCTGTGCTCAGAAGGCAACACAGTCTCCATTAAATAAACCACAAAAAAGAAGGGGGGTGGGGGTGCTCAGTGGGAAGGAGGTGAGAACAAGAACAAGGGAGGGTACGCTCACACTGCAAAACTTGTAGCTGTACATAAAAACATGATGCAACTTTTAATTTCATAGTAACTTATAGTAAATAATATAATGCTAATTAAACAGATTAAAAAGAGGCAGCATCTTCTGTTTAACAATTTACTGACTCATCAAATGAGAGTTGACTCAGCTCAGTATGATTCACATTCAGCCCCAACACTCAGCACAAAGACTTCCACTATTATATGAACAGTTTTAAGTCTACAGCCCTGCTAGCAGCTATGACTGGCTGTGCACTGTGCTATATGTATAAAGCCACACATTCTTTGCTAAACTGAAGCTAAATGATCCCCTGTGCTGTGCCACGACCCTACATTTAATGTAGTGCAAGAATAACAGCAAGTACATTAATAATACAACATCATATTACACAATGTGAGAACTACTTAAAGCTGAATATTATGAATGACAAATCGGTTTGAACTACGAGTACCATCTGTAGGTGACAGCCGACTGAACACCTCAGCTGGAGTTTATTTTGGCATTTTTTTTACATTGTCGAATCAGCTGTATGCAACTGATCTGTGTCGTAAAGAACAGATAAGATCATGACTGATACTCAAAATATAGGTTTGACTTGACAGAGAGGCAGCAAGTTGTGACAAAAAGCAAGTTTCAGTGGTTTCTGTTAAAACCACCTCCACTCTGCTGCCTTTACACATCACACAAAGCGACGAATATACCCTTCACCTGCCACACGCATGCAGCGGTTTGGGTCCTTTAGTTTTGGTATGAGTAGGGACTTTATGTACCTTTATTTTTAGCCAGCACTCAGTGATAGTTCATCATGAGCTAGGAGATAAAATATCTCCACAAGTTCACTAAATACAATGAATAAGGCTTCCTAATGATTTAAATGTGATTTTCCTTTACACATTTTAAAGGGTATTTATGTATTTGCAGCCACACGCAAGCCACATTGTTGCAGTAGCAGCCAAATGATAACAGTCTGGTTTAACCCAAACCAAAGACATGTCACAGATATCTTTCTCTAAACAGTAACCCTTCTGGTGGTGCTTCACCTCCAGCATTAGTGTCTTCTTGTTTGTTTTGCACCAAGCTTAGAAACAGGTTTGGGTGCAAATCACACCTTATTTTTTGCATTTCGGTGAAAAGCTGCTATGAGTTGTGGTTTCACAGGGGGGAGCAGGACCTCATTTTGTGGTGGCATTTTTTCCATTTCATCATCAGTATTGTTTTTAAACTTCTGGTTTGTGATGTTGCCTTTGTCCACTGCACTGCAGACACAGCACAACATGATATCAACAGTGACAAATGTATTTTAAAAAATAATATTGAAGAAATTTACTGTAGCGTCACCAACAATGACAGATTGAAACATGACAGACAGCCTATGTCGGCTCAACTTCTAAGTTGTGTTGCAATTTTAATTCAGTTTTATTTGTATAGCGCCAAATCACAACAACAAATGATCTTAAGGCACTTTACACAGTAAGGTCATGACCTTACAGTATTATAAAGACAAATCCAACAAATCTCCCTAGCACTTGGCGACACCGGGGAGGAGAAACTCCCTTTAACGGAAGAAACCTCTGACAGACCCTGGCTGTTGATGGGCGGCCTTCTGCCTTGACCGGCTGGGTTGAGTGGATAGAGGAAGGAGAAAAGAAGGCATCAGGACATACCAAAGAAGCACACACTGGGCAGAAAGGTACAGGGAGAGAGAGTAGTAGAGTAGTAGATGCATGGAGAGGAGCTAAATGCATCATGGGACACCTGAAGGGGTCTAAATGTTTTTCTGAAACCACTGTATAGAGACACGAACAGTACATAGTTTATCAGCTTTGTGGCCACACCAGAGATCAGGGTTGGTAGGCCAGGCAGTCAGATGGTGGCTGATGTAGGAACCACTGTGGGGGATTTCCACATAGAGCACCTAGAAACAGTTTGATTGGTTGAATCAAAGTGCTTTCAGATACTGCTAACACGCTGATGCTCAGCAGATGTTTACTGTGTTCACCATCTTAGACATGTTAGCATGCTATTTGCTAATTAACCAAATCCCCGAGTGTACTGTATTTGGAAATGGATGTTATATTTATAACAAACACAACTTTTCATTTATAGTTGGAAGAATGCAGTTGCTTTAAATGTCAGCTGCACCGGTGCTGAAACAAACACAGAGTCAGTGTTGTTGAGTGTAGTGTGTAGCTGTGCATATGGCAACATACGCAGCATAAGGTCCTACCCTGAAACAACAAATACAGAAGAGCTGCTGCTGAAGCTCAGGAAGTGTAAACAGAGTGGACGCTGAAGTACAGACCTAAAAATATGTTGGTGTGATGTAAAGAGGACCAGGAGTAAACAGAATGAGGCAGTAACAAAGGCAGCGCTGATTCTACTACCCTCACCAACATGGTTCAGAGGAACCCGTCACTGACAACAGGACTGTGAGCCTTCAGCAGGGAAAAGGAGAAAAAACAGGGCAGGGTTCTCACCTTTGCCTTTCTGGCCAACTGCGGCAAAAACCACAGGACGGGTGAGATGGAACAAAAGGTGACATTTCTTTAGAATGCTATACAACACACACAGGAGTATTACATCAGATTTGACCTTTGGACTCAAAAAAAAAAAACCCAAACTGCGACATTTTGAACTTCTTAGGTAAGAACACAACAAACTCAATAAGCACACGCAGACATTCACTTATTTTACAGTTAAGTAGTTCAAGTCCAGTGAAAAACCTTAAATGGTACAAAGCTGAGAAGTAAACTGCCAGAAGGAAAAAGTCACCAAAAGCTAAATGTATATTTATTTCATATAAAACAAGAATGAAGTAATGTAAGTAAATGCAAATGCAACAAAACTTACTGATCAAGCAGAAATAATCTAACGAACTCTGATTGGTTAAAGAGGTCAATCCCACTTAAACCCTTTTAGCACCGCTGCCGGCGCTGTTCAGTGAGTCTGGGTCACAGGAGGCTTCGACAGCAGCTTAGGTAAAAGTCTCTATTGCACCTTCTCCCACAGAAGGAATCCACAGAAAAACTGTTTTTACTCAACTTTATTTCACATGTTTATGCCATTTATTGTTATAATAGCACACACAAATGTCAACTGGCTAAAACAATATAAAACAACTTCCACAATTTGTCATTATTTATATTATGTACATGCACTCATATATTTATAGGCAAAACAATCCCAGGCCTTCGCATACTCTCAGTGCACGCCCCTCTGTGCTCCTCTCTGGCTGAGAGGCCATTCTAACGAGGATCTCTCGTTTGCCAGACGGAGTCCTACACCTTTACACTCATTTACACAACGCCAGCTAAAATGACTGAGTGAATACAGCCAAAACGAACACTAACCTTCACTATGCAGCTTTTCCTCTATCACGTCCTATAGGATGTTGGAACCAGATGATGATGTTGGATGTGTGTGGAGTTCATCACTGTGACAACAGCTTCACTCACAATTGGATTCTCAAAAAGAATTCATCTTAGTTACACACGGCAATAATGATGATTTAAGCTCGGTGGCAGAAGCAGCGCCCTGAGGCACCTGACACAGCAGCACTTCCTGCCTTCAGAACGGCCACAGTTCAACTCACAGCCAACATGAAAGTGCCAGGATTGTCTTCTACTTGACTTGGGTGAGTTGATTTTGCCTTTATGGAAACTCAAATGTGACAGAAATATAACAAGGGATTGGGAGCACAGAGGACGGACTGACCTCCACTGCGCTTCTGACCGCTCTGTTCTAGTGTGCGCCCACGCCACGTTCATGAAACACTATCTATAGCACTTCCTGGGTTTGATGGCTTGAGACAAACTGGAAGGTTAAGAACAGAACAGACAAAACATCCTCCTCTGCCACAACCCACTGAACTTTACAGCGAGTGGTCGGGACATGAAATCTGATCTCATCAGCGCTGTCCACACATTAGCATGACTTACAGTATTAATAGGGGCTTGAGTGAGCATCACGACATAACTGAAGATATGGATTATACAAGAGTTACAAACAGGGCAGGTCATGGTGTGTATCCGAAATGCTGGTAAAATTATGCTTTGTTTGAAACCGTGCTGTTTAAAAATGAAAGAAAGGGAAACAGGCTCACTTGTCACCTGTGTAATAGTATAATAATACTCAAAACTGGATTCTTATTGGAGTGGTCCTTCAGGTGCCGCCTGCCTCCTGTGTGTAACCTCGTTCAGTTCAGGCTGCTGAGGCCAGACGGAGGCGAGCGCTCCCTTTTATGTGGGGGCAAACTTCTTGGCCTGTGCCCTTACCCGCTTCTCATAGTCCATCCTGTTCTGACTGCAACAAACAAAAGGGAGAGACCAAGTCATTTTTAGCCATGCTGATGCAGGACATAGACATTTGTTTTGGTTCCATTCCTGAGATGACATATGAGAGTATAAAGGACTGAGAGAACAGAAAACATTCCACTCGGCTTCTGTGTTATGACTCGCCTTCGCTACCCGAAGGTCTGTGATACAGTATATTGGAGAAGTGCAAATTCATGGCCTATGCTGCAGGTAATCTGAGCTGACTGAGCATCTACATTCTTCACAGTATAGGCCGTTACTTTAATAAACGGTACTGATGTGGAAAAGGAAAAAAGAGCTGACAGCCTGACTGTTGATATCCAAAGACATCCTGACTAAACGATATCGCTAAATATAACATCATGTATTCAGGCTCCAGTTGCAGCCTGTTCAGTGGGAAAAAGCCAAAGAGACACACTGACCAGTAAATTGTGTACGCCTCTGCCTGTGCTGGGTCTTGAATGTTGGGCTCATTCAGCAGCTCCTGGATACCCAACAGGATCTGAAACAGTCAATTCACTGGTTTGAACACTGAACCCAGACCGAGCAAACCTTCAGACACTAGGCTGTACAAAGAGGACTATTCTCACAAAGCTAATGGCCAAAATCACAAACTGATGGTAAACCAACTGGCTGCAGTGTTTGTGATAGTGAGCAAGTGGGTGTTCCTACCTGTTTGATGGTGATGGCGGGCCTCCAGTCCTTGTCCTCCTCCAGGATGGACAGACACACTGTGCCTGATGGGTAGACGTTGGGGTGGAATATTGGTGGCTCGAACTTGCCTGAGTGGAAATCATTGAAGCTTGAAGCAATACTACATGGAAATACTAAGGATTTCAAATACAAAGTACAATATGGTCATTGTAGAAAACACTCGTGACCTCGGGTTGTTCACTCGCTATCTCTAAAATGCAAAAACAACCTGGGAGAGCACTGTCACTTGGTATACTGTCATATGACAAACAAGCAAATGTCTGATTGTCAGTTCTGTTTTGAATCTGACCCATGTTCTGACAAAGACCGGGCATAAAAATACAGATCACTGTACGACTACGAGTCCAACATGGACCACCTCGCTTCCATTTAACAACCTCCTAGTTCAACTGTACTTCATATCAACATTTAATGATTAAAAGATTTAAATTTAATCATAGTTCTTCAGTATTTGATGCACATCAGATCCACAGTATCTGATAATGAACATTTTGTATATGACGCTGCTGCTCGTCTCATTTGCACCACTACAAACTGCAGTGTTTGTGTCAGCATCTTTGATTTCTGTTGTTTCAGTCTTTTGACTTGCAAATGAAATCTAATTCAATTCACGTCGATGACCCCCACAGCTAAATTGGAGTAACGGTGGAAAGGGAAATAAGATTTGATAAAGGATTCAAATGTGATGAACTGCTGTCGAGCCCCATCCCCACATCATCACTGATCAAATTACGTTGTGTTCAACAACTGATCTGAACATCCTGATGCTTTAGTGTAGAAATGTTCCTGAATCCCACACATTTCATTAAAAAATAAAAAACATGTTACTGTCACACTTATCTCCAGCCTCCTTTTAATTTCACAATATGTGTCAGATGCATAACACTATCACACCAGTGAAACCAGGCAACCGACACAAACATTTAAACAGGTTTAGGAGAGTCTGAAACATTTTTGCCAACCCAGAAATTTTTTTTTTTTTTTTTTAACTGTTTATCACATTCACAAACACCAAAAGTGGTGACTCAAAGAACGACATTACTTAGACTTGGTGTCATCTGCTACTCTGGGCTCATGCTGCTGCTCTTCGTTGCCGATACTCTTAATTTTCAAAGCCTTTCCTCTTCAACTTGAATAGACAGCTGCATGCAACATGAAACTATGAACCAAGTGTGGAGAAGGACTCACATTTGGGTGGGGAGGACGGGTAGTCATCCTTGAACAGCATTCTGAGTTTATACAGGCCTCCCTCCCACAAGGTCTAATGAAAGATCGAGGGAATAAAAACTGCTTCAGTGAACTCGCTGAGAAAATACAGAGGGATATTCAATGGCCAAGCATCTGAACAATCTTGGAAACACGGACGTACGCTCAGCTGGAGGTTGATCAGATACACCTGGCTCAAACTAACGCAGTCCTCCTTCAGGAAGAAGAATTGATTGCAGGGATTTGTATTAGACTACAGAAGTTTTCTGCCAACTGAGAGTATTTATATAAGAAATATCTGAGCTTTATTGAACCACAGTGAAAATGACATGCAGCAGGTGACTGTTGCTCTTCCCTGAAGATGCAGGCAATCATTTTTTCCAGGAATCCTGCCTGTTTTGCTTGTATAACATGAAACCACTTGGAGGTGTCCTCTACACCATGAACCTCTGATACTGCTCCTTTTATCACCAAAATGTTTTTCTAGCACAAGGTCAAAGATTTAAAAAGAATTCCTGTCTAAAAATTTCTTGCTTATGTCAGTCATTTAAGTGTTATATTTTTATTTTATTTGGCTTCATCCACACAATGATTATAGCAATATTAGTTCAGAAGCATGACACATATTAACGAATGACCTGTAATGTGTGTTGGTTAATATGCAGAATAACCTCCCATTACAGTAACATGGCAGTTTGCAGGAGGTGGTTCACAGGGAGTTGGGTAGTAACATTGGCAAAACAAAAGGATGAGGTTTATTGTGTGTATGCAAATGCATTGAAATTTTCGTTGGTAGATCTTTCTGAGAACAGCTGATCCACTCACAGATGGGTTATAGCAGAAGGGGCCACTGGCACGGAGATGGCAAAGGCCCCTGCCTCCTTACCGTAGGAGCGAGACCTCCACAGTGAAAAATGACACACAACAACCATAAACCACGCGGGTTTGTGGTTTATGGTTGTTTTGTGTTTCTTTATGGTCACAACTTTTAATATCTTTTTGGTTTCACATTTACTGAGTTGTTGCATCGAACTGTGGGAACTGTGCGTCTCTGTGGTAATCTCACATGTATCTATAGTTGTTTGTGTCTCTTTGTGGTTGTGTTAGATCATTTTCCATCTCATAATTTTGAATATCTTGGTTTTGCATCTCCTTCTGGGATGTTTTACACCGACAGGAGCCCCGTAACACTTTGGGCCCTTTCAGTAATCCATCCATGGGTCCACATTAATATGCAAGTGGACCAGCTGTGGTAGACTCTGTCACAGACGGTAACCAACTTACGCCTTTCTTTCCTGGGATGGCACACTCCCAGTTCATCAGATTCATGGTTCCATCAGGATTCTTAGTGGGTACAGCAACAAAACCCTGTGTGGGGTATATGATTCACACAACACATCAGTGGCCAACCTTCTGTCTACTTAGCAACAACAAAGACAATAATAATAATTGTAAAAATCTTTGACATCTCAGAAACAGGGGACACAAAGGCGATGTATAATAGGTGTATGCTTACAAACGGGTGGTCTTTTCTCCAGGCTTTGCGCTCCTGGGACAGTCTGCTAAGAGCGATGCCAGACATTGCTGCTCATCAACGCCTCCCTGTGGAAAAACAACCCAAAACAAATTTATTATTCACTCCAACCTGCCAACAAATCTAGTGATGAGGCCTCGATTGTTTCTACTAAAAATACACATTGAGAGTTTATTGAATTACACCGATATTAACTGATGTTATTTGTTTACGGGTCCAGTAGCAACTATTTAGCGTCCGTAACCTGGACATGGCAGAAAACGCGACACTAGCGAACGGAACACAAAAGCTCAGCTATACTAATTATATTGTTAAGTCATACTACTACAACTGAACTTACCTCCTATTTGGCTACGTATCAGAATTACGAGGATTTTTGGACTAGATGGTCTGCTTCGTTAGCGCTAACGTTACTGCTGTGTTAACGGCTGCCGAAAAACACACCCTTCGACGATTAAAAACAAAAATACTGGGCCGCTTAGGGTATAGAAAACCAAACCGAAAGAAATTTCTATTTTGTCAACATTTCTCAAACACACTTATCGAAATACATCGGTGTTATTTTTAACAAATCTTTCACAATTGTGTAAAACAATGTGACTTATACTAGCGTGTCGAAAGTTAGCTTATCGCAAAAGGACCCCAATTTGTTTATTTCGTAAGGACCTTCAGGCCGTTAATGGGGCAGCCCAGTGGCACACGGTAGAGATGGTCGGCCATCTTGATTGCATCAATTGCATAACAGGATGCACCAAATAAACAGAAGTAGGTGTACTACATCAAAGCAAGCTTATGTAAACATGAAGCAGAGCAAGAAACAGGCAGAACAACGTGAAACAGAATACCAGAGGTAAAGTGATATTGAGGTCAATGGTTTTGGTTCGTTTTTTATTACTGTGATTTAAGTGAGAGTGTTTGGAGGCAATTGCTCAGATCAGATTGTTTAAAAGTTGTAAAAGAAATGGGGCTTGTCAAAGATTAATAATATGTCATATTCTTTAAGTACAATTTCCTTACCAAATGTATGTAAGAGTTTAAAGGAAAGTTCTTTAACTCTGTTGGACAACACAAGTTTGTAAAGTAGAGTAAAACTAGGTTCCATATTCTTCCATCACGAGGTATGTCCACTTATTTTTAATACCAACTCAAGTGAATGATTCACTTATTTTGAGTCATAGGTTAATGAATCAACATTCACACTCACTTTTTTAAATTAGGTTATTTATTAACGTATAAATGATGTTCTTTTACATCAGAAAGTCTAGTATTTATGATACATGGTCAGTAGCCTAGACTGGACTGCAATTTACTATTATCATTTAATTTTAAAGGCTAGTAAAGGTCTTGTTACATAACATTATGAAGTGAATATACAACCGTGAAAGGTTAGACTTGCATCACAATCAGCAAAGACTGGACTTGCAGGAAAAAGACTAATTCATTCAGATAATCGTATAGACTGTGTTACTGTAAACATTTATATTTCTGGGTATTGAATGATTGTTTTTTTTTTCATGTCATGAGCTATACAAAATATAAAAGAGAATATCAAAAATTACTTTTAGGCACAACAGAAAACAAGGACCTCAAGATTCATTTACTGTAACACACAAAAGTACAAAATATATCCACATCAAGAAAGTGCCCTCCCCCAACAGCACAGGAGTGCTGTTAGCTTTTCTACATTGTGAAACATCCCTGTAATGAAACTGCAGCTCGTTTGCATAAGAAAAGGGATGTTTATTAAAGGTTTCATACAGATGTCGAAACTTCCATCTGTTAATTCACAACACTGCACAGCTTTTTACAGTGCACTTTGGTTGTCTTGACCTGTCACCATCAGCAACAAACACACAGCTTTTGCTTGTTACATCACATCTTTGTAAGTATCAGTCCACAGCCCTTCCTCTTTCACTCACACTTCCTTTCCCTCTTTCACTCACGCTTCCTTTACCTCTCCCTCTGAAATGATAAGCTCTGGGGACGCCCTTATAAACCATTCACACCAGGAGCCATCATAAACACACACTCCAGGGTGGCCGAGCAGGTGAGCAGCCAGGACAACGTGACACGACGTGATACCAGAACCACAAGAAGCCCAGACTGGTCGCTCCAGGTCCACGCCTGCCTCTCGGAACACTTTGGCCAGGCCCTCAGTTCCCAGCTCCTTTCCAGAGGCATCCAGGAAAGAAGTGAACGGTATGTTGACTGCTCCGGGGAAATGCCCCGGCAGCTGGTCTGAGGGCAAGACAGAGCAGTGAGAATCACTGTGATGGTCTGGGGCAATAATCTAAAAAAATAAAATTAAAATTCAAAGTTCATTTCCTCTGGTGCTTTCAGCCACATTTCACTGCCTTTGTTTTCATAAAGATTGTTCGGTTGTCATCCATGATTGATGACAACTGATTGATGAAAAGCCACGAGAGGCTCCAGAGAAAATCTAGCAAGTGGTCCTTGAGTTTTTTTCTTCTTCTAACTACTTCAAGCTTGAGAGTAAATATAAACATGCACTGGAAACTTAGGGCAATAATGACACTGTGCTTTGAGAAAAGAAAATTACATCAACATGCACAAATTAGATTTTGTTTGGAGCTTTCAGTCACATCTCATGGCCTTCATCAGCAGATTATTTACTTTGTCAGATGGAATAGTTGTCATCCATGATTTATGAAAACAACCATCTCCATGACAACTGAGCAAACTCTGCTATGAAAGGATGGGGTTGAAAGCCCCATAACTAAACCAGTAAGTGGCTCGACTGTTCTTTATGTCAAACTACTACAAGCTTGACAGTTCCCTACTGGAAGTGGCATCAATAAGGTTTTACTTAGTATTTTAGACTGATTTGATTTATTCTTTCAAGCATGTAAAACAGTTGATATGACAACACACATAATTTTACACATAATCCAATATCAATTTGCTTATACCTAGTACATACTTGAATGGAGTAGGAAGAAGTCAGACTTATCCAGTCCTACCCCATGACATCATCTTATCATCATTGGTTTACAAGCAGTAAATGATTCACTTCTATCCACACACATATTATACTAAAAAAGATAACAGTGTTAACATTGTTACATCACACAAGTAAAATACTAAAGAATTATAACAGTGTTAACAATCATACACCACACCCACAATGTTCCATCTAATTAATCATTGAGCCTGTTCTTGCATATATCTTGATTGACACATACCTTTATATTTATGCTTAAACTCGTCAATTCTATTACTATTTTTTATGTCTACACTTAAATTATTCCATAGTTTTACCCCACTTATGGAAATACAAAATCTTTTTTTGGTTGTACGTATAGCATGAATTTTTAAATTTAACTGACCCCTTAAATTGTATCCCCCTTCCCTTTCATTAAATAGTTTTTGAATTCCACCAGGTAATAAATTGTTCCTGGCTTTATACATAAACACAGCAGTCTTATATCCCACTAAATCAAAAAATTTTAACAATTTAGACTGTATGAAAGCTACATTGGTGTGATCCCTATACCCCATCTTATGCACAATTCTTATCGCTCTTTTTTGTAATATATACAATGGTTGAAGTGAGCTTTTGTATGTATTGCCCCAGTTTTCAACACCATACTCTAAGTATGGTAAAATCAATGAAGAATACAAAATACGTAGTGCTTTCCCATCCAAAATATATCTAACCCTTGCCAATATCAATATATTTTTGCTATTTTGTTCTGAAAATATCTGATATTCAATTTCCAAGACAATTTGTCATTAACTATGACACCTGGAAAGTTAATTTTAAGTACCTAAATATTAAATTGAAATTCATTGTCTAATCTGGGATTCCCAAATATCATAAATTCAGTTTTATTCAAATTCAGATATACTATATTACTAATGCACCATTTCTTTATTTTCCTAAGCTCCTGTGAAACTTAAATGCTCTGCTTTTGTACACAACGCATAGACACCTATACCCGGACAGCCACACCCCTACCCATGGGATTCACAACCCGTGAGTAGCGGCTTTCAAAGCCGTGTAGGATCACGGGCACGTGGTCAAAGTTCCAGGGCGGACAGGAGAAGTTTTGTGAGACGACAACAGGTATAATCTTGGTCACAAAAGAGGACAAGATGTCGATCGGTTCGACCTAAAACCATATTGGCAATCAGAGAGGATTTTATGTCTATCAATAAATGTGTCTAATCTGTTATTAAAAAGTTTTTCCAAGTTTTTTGAAAACTGTGACAACAGAGAAACCGGTTTCTAATTTGTGAAGTTGTGCTGTGCACTCATTATACGTTTTCCTAAAAACCTGTAACCCCTCTCACCATCTCTGGGTTCCGGCTCAGTCCCCCTGAACCTTCCAGCGGACCTGACATCCACAACCTGCGCCTGCTTGGTTCTGGTGTTCTCCAGCACGTCTTCATAGCTCTTTACCCACGACTGATTCAAAGTGGCCTTAAACTCTCTGCGCTCCGGCCTGGAGTATTCAGATGTCACCGGGTAGCCGTCCGCCAGCCAGTTCCTCATGCCCCCGTCCAGCACCGACACCACGCTGTGTCCGAACAGCCGGAACATCCACCACACCCGCGGCGCGCTGAACGACCCGAAGCCGCTGTTGTCATACACAACAACATGCGTGTCGTTGCCGATGCCCAGGTCGCCTACATACTGGGAGAAGTGGCTGGAAGTTGGCAGCATGTGGTCAAACTGCGAACTCCTGTCACAGCATTCTTCAATGTCAAAGAACGAGGAGCTCGGGATGTGCTGCTGCGCAAACTCAGCTTTCGGGTCCCGTTTCATTTTCGGTAGAAACCACGAAGTGTCAAGAATGCGAAGCTTGGGACCGACGAGGTTATTTCTGATCGCCTTTGCCAGCCAGTGGGTAGACACCAGGGTCTGTGCCGCCATGACGGCGCGATGGGTCCAGTCTTCTTCTTCATGTAATTCAATGGCGGGTGGTATCCAACGTTAAAGTGCATGTCCGCCACCTACTATTCAGGAGTGTGGACCACAGTTACGCACACGCACATGCACACACTCTATTCATTTCTGTTTATCGATCCAGTTTTTATAAAAACAAACAAAAAACACAATATACTTCCCTCCTTCATAAATGAGGAAATTCTTAAAATGTTGTCCCACCCAGAAGTAAAGCCTGGATACATTCATATGATGGAAACGTGATAGATAATGGTGGTAAAATGTCACAGGTTGGCAGCTCTGTACGTTCAGGACGGTGGAGCTTGGAGCTAGATCCTAATGTAATACATGTATCAAAGAAACTAGAAAAACAGATGTTAAATTTACAAGGATAGGCCTCCAAAAAGGAGCAGGCCTCACTCGAGAATCAAATAAAAGTCCAGTTTGTTGCCAGGGTAAAGAGCAGGGGCGTTGCTAGACTTAAAGCTTTACTGGGGCACCCCCCCCCATA